TTACTAGTAGTAACAAGAAGCTACGAACGGGGCTCCTGGCCTTACTACTAGCAACAAGGTTCGCTATTAGGGGCTCCTGGCATCGCTGGAGCGATTGGACGCACGTCCGCGGACTCGTCGTCGTCTCGTCGTTGACGTACTCGTTTTTGTGTCTGTAGGTCGAGTACATGGCCATCAATCGCGAGTACAGATCACCCGTGGCTTGGAAACGAACGTTCCTTTTTCTTTTACTTTGTTTAAAATAGTGTATTTTTCTTTTCCGTTTTTTTACAACGGTTTTTTTTTTTCTATGTCTTTCTTTCTTTGCACTTTTTGTTTCTTGCTCTTTCCTCATCTTTCTTTCGTTGTTTTTTCTTCTGAGCTTTTGTTGTTTGTCATCCGAGGTATGGTTTCAGACCCTTCACCTACTGCATCTGAGCTGCACATCAAACGGATTTGCAAATTTGATCTGGCTTGTTCTCAGGTATGCAGTGGTGTCGTGAACTCAACATATTCAAATTGGAGTAGCAAGGACGCTACTAGGTCCACCCTGGTAGCGTCCTTGCTACTAGTAGCGATGCACCTTGTTACTAGTAGCTTCTTTGCTCCTAGTAGCGATGCCCTTTGCTCCTAGTAGCGTCCTTGCTACTAGTTGCTTTTCCAACTTTGCGTCAAAAAGGGTGAAGTGATGGCTGGGATTGGAGATGAGGTTTGCTTTGGAGCTGGGCCTTAGGGTCTGTGCATTCGGTTCAGATCTCTACAACGATGGAGATTTGCCCTTCGGCTTGCAAAGTTGAGAACACAAGGGTTGAAGGAATTTTGAATTGCTTGTGTTGTGTCGCTGGCGATGCTTTTCCCGACTTGTTGCATGATGATCACGAAAAGTAGCAACCCTTTTTTAAAGGGATGTAGGACTAGAGACTAGAGGTTTCCCATTGCAATCTTTTGAGGGACATAGGTACAATCGACTCCAGTCCAGTCCAATTGGGAGTGTATTCGGTTTGTTAATCATTCCTGAACGGTATCCTTTATATATATATATATATCATATAATGATAAGTAAGTTCAACCTAATGGCAATGGCCTCCAGCCAAGTAGCGATGGCTCCAACCTAATAGCAATGGCCTCCAACCTAAGAGCGATGACCTCCAACTTACTAGCGATACCTTTATATAATGACAATTGTTTCTTCCGTCACGGACTGCTGCCAGAGATTTTTATGATTCTAATTTATATAGATTTGGAAACGCCTCTCAGCTGCGCTCTTAATTTGTTTTGCTGCCTCTCTCGCTCTCTCTCTCTCTCTCGCTCTCTCTCTCTCTCTCTGCGCACCGTTGCGGCATTCATTGCATCTTGGGACTTCCCTCATTTGCCTTGTGCGAGGAGAACTGTGTCTTTATCATCCCCCAAAAAGGGTCCTCTAATTACTTTACTTCGAAATTCCCCACCCTCAAAGAATTGGTCTTCACAAGAGAAAAGCGGTTCGGCGCGAAAAGGATTCTTTATTGAAAGCAAAACCACACATCGAATACTTACTTGTGAGGTTTCTGAACTTCGATATTTTAATGCCTGGCAACCCCACATCCCTGCCAAGTCAACTTGTGGTGGATATGCTGTGGAACTGGTACTTGGGAGCACTCTGGTGAATGTGCTGGTGTAAAGGCTACGCTGGGCTACTCGGGGCCACTCTGGTGGATGCGCTGTGTAAGGGCTACTCTGGGCCACTGTGGGCCACTCTGGTGGATGTGCTGTGTTCTTTGGGTTGCTCTGAGCTACGCTGGGACCACTCTGGTGGATGTGCAGAAGTAGCGAGTCTACTGAAGTCCAAAGTTCTTAAAATCTAACAGCCCCACAGTCCTACGGGTGGGGAAAAAACTGCTTTGATAAGTACAATACAAGTCTACAACTATCCTGCGATCTCTTTGGTAAATGTGCTGTGGAGAAGCTAAGTTGCGCTACTAAAAACTGTGGTTGCTGTGGACAAGCTAAGTTGAACTACTTAGAAATCAGTTTGTGAATGTGCTGTGGAAGAGCTAGGCAGCTAGGTTTAGCTACTCAGGGATCAGTTTGGTGAATGTGGTGTGAATACTCAGAGGTCATTTTGGTGAATGTGCTGTGGAAGTGCTATGTTGAATTAGTCAGGGAATACTTTGGTGAACAGGGATCAGTTTGGCGAGCGTGCTGGGCTACTCAGAGATCACCTTGGTGAACGTGCTGTGGAAAAGCTAGCTTGAATACTCAGGGATCACTCTGGGGAACGTGCTGTGGAAGAGCTACTTTGGGCTACTCCGGGATCTCTTTGGTGAACATGCTGTGGAAGTGCTGCGTTGAACTACTCAGGGATCAAACTGGTGAGTGTGCTATGGAAGAACTGCTTTGGGCTACTCAGGGATTACTTTGGCGAGTGTGGTGTGGAAGAGCTAAGTTGGGCTAGTCAGGGATTCCTTTGGTGAACGTGCTGTGAAAAAGCTACTTTGGGCTTCTCAAGGATTACTTTGGTCAACGTGCTGTGGAAGATCTAAGTTGGGCTACTCAGGGATTACTTTGGCGAGTGTGGTGTGGAAGAGCTAAGTTGGGCTAGTGAGGGATTCCTTTGGTGAACGTGCTGTGGAAAAGCTACTTTGGGCTTCTCAAGGATTACTTTGGTCAACGTGCTGTGGAAGATCTAAGTTGGGCTACTCGCGGACTACTTTGGTGAGTGTGCTGTGGAAGGGCTAAGCTACTCAGGGACCACTTTGGTGAGTGTGCTGTGGAAAAGCTAAGTTGGGCTACTCAGAGACCACTTCGTGAGTGTGCTATAGAAGAGCTAAGTTGGGGGACCGGGCGTACTGAAGTCCGAAGTTCTAAAAAACCTAACAACCGACAGGCCTACGGGTGAGAAAAACGCAGCTTTTGTTGGCTTGATAAGTACATTGCAACTCTACAACTACCTTGGAATCACTTTGGTAAATGTGCTGTGGAGAAGCTAAGTTGCGCTACTAAGAACTGTGGTTGCTGTGGAAGAGCTAAGATGAGCTACTTAGAAATCAGTTTGTGAATTTGCTGTGGAAAAGCCAGGTTTAGCTACTCAGGGATCAGATTGGTGAATGTGGTGTCAATACTTAGAGGTCATTTTGGTGAATGCGCTGTGGAAGTGCTACGTTGAACTACTCAGGGATTACTTTGGTGAACAAGGATCAGTTTGGCGAGCGTGCTGTGGAAGAGTTAAGTTGAACTAGTCAGAGATTACTTTTGTGAGTGTGCTGTCAAAGAGCTACGTTGAACTACTCAGGGATTACTTTGGTGAACAGGGACCACTTTGGTGAGTGCGCTGTGGGCTACTCAGGGACCACTTTGGCCAGTGTGCTGTGGAAGAGCTAAGTTGCGCTACTCAGGGATCACTTTGGCCAGTGTGCTGTGGAAGAGCTAAATTGCGCTACTCAGGGAACACTTTGGCCAGTGTGCTATGGAAGATCTAATTTGGGCTACTCAGGGACCACTTTGGTGAGTGTGCTGTGGAAGAGCTAAGTTGGGCTACTCAGGGACCACTTTGGCCAGTGTGCTGTGGAAAAGCTAAGTTGCGCTAGTCAGGGACCTCTTTGGCCAGT